TCGAGGGTGGTAAATTGTTACAATCGCCATCTAGTGGTCAATTATTTGTGTATACAACTACTGACGACATCAGCCGTGTTGTAAAATACCAAAAAGCACCAAAATATTTCGGTATATTTTGTGGGGTATTTCTTAGAATCACGAATTCAATTTTCAGTACAATTATTTTTTCTAAAATTCAACATATCATAACAACCAATTTCGCTGTGGGGATTAAATAACAACAACAAAATATAATATGTATGGTATATAATCGAATATTTAATAAGTTTAATCGGTTTAATTTGAGTAAAATTACATTTTTAAAGCTGAGTAACCCAACCAGCTGGTAATATTAAACTTAACATCAAAATCGAGGAAAATGTTTTTAGATATATTTTACGGTATATTTTGAAAATGGAAAAGTATATTTCGGTGTATTTTCGAGGCCCCGATGGTATATTTTGTCGATAAATCCGCGGTCACACTGAACAAGTGATTCGCGAAATAAAATTTTTTTTCAATTTTAAATTCTGTAATTCTGGGATAAATTGCATAAAATCAATTAAAGAAACAGATAGAGAGTATAAAACGTGCGATGAGCGAGACCATAAACACCGCGGCGCAGTTTCCGTCCTTCGAGAAACCGACCGTGCAGTTCAACGAGCGGGGCTGGGGACCATGCGAACTGCCGGACACGTTTAAGGATGTACCCTACCAGCCGTTCAGCAAGAACGATCGCCTGGGCAAGATCTGCGACTGGACGAGCACCTCGAACAACGACAAGAAGTACCAGAGTAAGTGCTATACAGAACTACATTTAAAATTCGCATTTCCTCACATTTGTACGCTCACAAAGTGAGGTTATGTGCATGCGTCGTGGCAGAGGTTATAGCGTTGTTGTGTTTTTGTGTTATTTTCAGACAAGTACGCGTCCAGCTTCGGCACTGGCATCCAGTACTCGTACTACCATGAGGAGGACGAGACCACGTTCCACTTGGTCGACACGGCCCGCGTGCAGAAGCCGCCTCACCAGCGCGGACGCTTCCGCAACATGCGCGGACGCGGTGGTCGCGGTCGCAATCCCCGTGGCGGTCTGAACAACCACAGCCACCATCACCACGGCATGACCACTCTCAATGGCAAGAATGTGAAGGCTCGCGATACCCGTCGCGGCATGGGCAAGAAGTTCGGTCATCGCGGTCCACCACCAAAGATGCGCGAATCCTCGGTGGCCGTGCGCGCCGACTGGGCTTCCATTGAGGAGATGGACTTCCCTCGTCTCATGAAGCTGTCGCTGCCCAATATCAAGGACGGTGTCGATATCGCCACCTGCGGCACTCTGGAGTACTACGACAAGACCTATGACCGAATCAACGTGAAGAACGAGAAGCCGCTGCAGAAGATCGATCGCATTGTGCACACGGTGACCACCACCGACGATCCGGTTATTCGTCGTCTGTCCAAGACCGTGGGCAATGTATTTGCCACAGATGCTATTCTGGCCACCATTATGTGCTCGACGCGCTCCAACTACTCCTGGGACATTGTCATTGAGAAGGTTGGCGACAAGATCTTCATGGACAAGCGTGATCACACGGAGTTCGATTTGTTGACTGTGAACGAGAGCAGCGTGGAGCCCCCAACCGACGATGACAGCTCTTGCAACTCGCCCCGCAATCTGGCCATCGAGGCCACCTTTATCAACCACAACTTCAGCCAGCAGGTGCTCAAGACCGGCGACCAGGAGGCCAAGTTCAAGTTTGAGGAGCCCAATCCCTTCATTAGCGAAGACGAGGACATCCAGGTGGCCAGCGTGGGCTATCGCTACAAGAAGTGGGAGCTCGGCAGCGATATTGTAAGCAAAATGCCATGAAAATCCTCAAAGCATTGCTCTAACCCATTCCCTTCGATGTGTGTGTTGTAGGTTCTGGTGGCGCGTTGCGAACACGACGGAGTGCTGCAGACACCCAGTGGCGAGCCGCAGTTCATGTCGATCAAGGCCCTCAATGAGTGGGACTCCAAGCTGGCCAACGGCGTTGAATGGCGCCAGAAGTTGGACACACAGCGCGGAGCTGTTCTGGCCAATGAGTTGCGCAACAACGCCTGCAAGCTGGCCAAGTGGACAGTCCAGGCCGTCCTCGCGGGCTCCGATCAGCTGAAGCTGGGCTATGTGTCGCGTATCAACCCGAGAGATCATTCGCGGCATGTCATTCTGGGCACGCAGCAGTTCAAGCCTCACGAGTTCGCCACGCAGATCAATTTGAGCATGGACAATGCCTGGGGCGTGCTCCGTTGCATCATTGACTTGGTGATGAAGCAGAAGGATGGCAAATATCTGATCATGAAGGATCCCAACAAGCCGATCATTCGTCTCTACGATATCCCCGACAACACATTCGATTCCGATGACTCGGACGATGGTGAGGGCGATGATGGTGAGGGTTTCCAGCAAGTCTACAATTACGCGAACAACAGCAACAAACCTTAGACGACACACGCATTCAGCACCCACTTCCCGCCACAATTGGAAGGGGTTACAGACTTTTTATTAACCATAAAATCATTGATAACAAATGTCCCTTCGCAGAAGTATACGTGTTCTAGGCGCTAGTTGTAAGAATCTGTATCTGAGTTGTATCTGCAGCGTATTCCTAGTAAACCACAGAAGGCGAAACGACGAACCTATTCTTTACTGGAGGGTGCCTCTTTGTCAATTGCTACAGCATTTCTAGTAAAAGCGATCTAAAGTTAAATTTTTATATATAGGCCATGGCATGTAGTGCAGTTTTTGATTGAACACAAACGAACCGTGATCCAAGAGGGGGCTTATGCTTCCGCTGTTACTGCAACTACTGCAGAAAAGCAAGATCAACAATATGACAGTGGCTTAAAGTAAAGGGACTCTGCGTCTGCTGAGGAACGTACTTTGACTTCGGTAGGGCATTGATCAATTCTGGTCAGCCGATGTATGCTGCACATGTATGGGAGAATGGCTCCTCAACGGAGCCGCTCCACAATCGTTATGCGACCGCTAGATAACCGTTTCGAAGCCGCTCAGTAACCGCTTCACCAGCTGAATAGAGAGCTTAGCGCCCATAGCGTCATAAAAGACGTCTGGTTAAGAATTTATAGACTGCACATTAATCATTACAGGAATTTGAACATATTACTTTCCACAATGCCAACTGGAATCACCGGGAAAATCCTCCACCTATGTACATACATACATACATACAGATGTTCATATTTATCAGTGTGTAATTCTCTATCTTGGGACACCTTTGACACGCTGTCGTTTGACTCTCGCGATAACGCGCTTAATAATCTCGTCAGAGGCTAATTAATGAGACTCAAACCGGCTCAACCACTGGAGTGTGCCTTCAGTCTCGTCTAGAAGCGCATTGCGACCAGATCAATCGTAATCTGCCAATATGCTGACGGATCAGAAGCTAGTACTGCTCCCGCTGCTATTGCTGCTAGGCGCCAGTGCACAACGAGCTGGTGAGCCGTCCTTCAGGGGGCCAAGAACCGGTTTTAATCAGTGCATTAATGCATCGCGAATTGCCACTCATATAATTTAGATGCTGCGCAGATCAGCTTCGGCAGCTGCACGCCGCAGCAGAGCGAGGAGCGTGGCTTCTGCGTCCACATTGAGAGCTGCCCCTTCCTCTACACCATCCTTAAAGCGGATAAGACGACCCCAGCTCAACGCACGCTGCTCTCGAAAAGCCAGTGCGGACTGGACAACAGGCAGGAGGGTCTGCTGAATCGCATTCTGGTCTGTTGTCCGGTGAGCAAGCGCGGTGCCCAAGTCGCAAATGGCAACAATGCGGCAGAGGAGCATCTGCCGGGCAATGTCCTGCCTGGCAATGAGACATGTGGCATCCATTTTGCTGACCGCATAGTGGGCGGCCGCAATACCACTCTCTCGGAGTTCCCATGGATGGTTCTACTGCAGTATAAGAAACGTGAGTGGGCACAAGAATTTATGAGGAGAGTTTTATACTATCCACTTCCGAATTGGCAGTTTTCTCCGAGGATTATAGCTTCAACTGCGGCGGCACTCTGATCAACTCCCGCTATGTGCTAACAGCCGGACACTGCCTGGCCAGTCGCCGATTGGACATGTCCGGCACGGCCCTGCATGCCGTCCGCCTAGGGGAGTGGGACACCAATACGGACCCCGATTGCGTGCCCGAGAAGAATGGCAAGACGACATGTGCCCCCGCGCACATTGACATTGAGGTGGAGAAGCGAATCATCCATGAGGCATATGTGCCCAACTCCATTGACCAATTGAATGACATTGCCCTATTGCGTCTCAAGAAGAGTGTCAGGTGAGTGGAAGTCATATCTGATCTGAGCTCTAATTTAATCGTGACCTTGCAGCTACTCGGATTATGTGAGACCCATTTGTCTGGGCATCAATGAAGATGTACGGACGAATATCTTCGAGGGCTATGCAATGGACGTGGCTGGCTGGGGTCTTACCGAGAAGAAGGTGCCCAGTCCACGCAAGCTTAAGATCACCGTCGATGTGTGGAACCTGAAAGCATGTCAGGACAAGTACAGCACCTACAAGGTGAATCTGAATGATAACCAATTGTGTGCCGGTGGCAAGGCGAATGTTGACACCTGCGGCGGTGACTCTGGTGGTCCCCTAATGGTGGCAATCAACACTGGCGGCAGGGAGGTGTTCTATGTGGCTGGCATCACGTCTTACGGTCCGGATCCGTGCGGCCTACAGGGCTGGCCGGGTGTTTACACCCGAACTGGGGCATTCGTCGATTGGATACAGCGTAAATTGGAGGCATAATAAATAATGTTGCTAATTTATTCACATTTCTCGCATTTGCTAGCTTAAAATATAGCACGCAATTAGTGCTGGGGCAAGGTGCGCAGGAGTAGCTATTAAACATAAATTATGCTAAGCTCCCTCTCTCTCTCTCTTTTAAAGTGGAATGCGAAACAAAACACAGATTCAAATTCAAAATTAGGTAGTAGAACACGTGCAAAAATAACATCCGATATTTGGGGCCAACTTAAATGATACAAATAAAACCTTCTTTGTGACATTCCCTACATTAGACCAATTGGCTTAGCTAATCGCTACTTATTATACGTACATATTTGCTGCTTATATATTCTAGAACTCAGCAGATATTATTTAATGGATGTGTGACAACATAAACAAATTGAATTTAATTTAGAAGTACATTTTGTATAAGTAAAGGGGGCGATTGCCAGCAATTCGAATAGGCTTAAAAATAGAGATTCGAGTGTATTTATATAAAACGCTGGCATTGCTGGAGAGGGCTTGAAATTAACCCTCCTCTGGTGCAGCGCGTGGCGCCTTTCCAGTTTCGACGGCCATCCACTCGGCAGTCGACTCATCGATGGCTTCCAAAGCGGGTTCCACGTCATCCATTGCGGGATTCGGTGCAGTATTTAATGCATCCAATGCAGGTTTCAGTTGAGCTAGAACACCCTTGACCGCAACGCAAAATCCACGGCTGCACGGGAGTAGGGGAAACTCGGGCATCTCGCATGGGGCCTTGTACTCCGCCGGCATTTCTAAAATATGTCCATGTGTCATGCAATTCAATATATCAACCCAGAGGGCAGACAGACTCACCCTTAATGCTGGTAATTTTCAGGCGTTGTGCCTCAGATGAGTAATCGGCCCATGCCTGTATGCGGTCATACAACTCTGTGCCAAACTCCTTAAAGTGCTGAATCAATTCATTGCGGAAGATGAGCGGCGGATTCTGCAGCTGCTTGACCGTGGAATGGGCTAGTTTTATGATTGCCATTTCGTTATAGACCCGAGAGTTCTCTTGGCCCAGTTGTGTGCCTAAAAAAGTTCGATATTAAATTTGTTTTTTGATTTTTCGAGTATGTAATTGCTTACCGCGTTGCTTCTCATAGCCGGCCTCATTATAGTAGGGCTCATCGACCAGTATGAGGCCCTGTATCGAGACGAGCACCTGCAACATGGTGCTGGTAATCGACCACATTTCTGTGTCACGCCCTGACCAAGTGCCGAGCAGGGATACGCACACCTTGCCCTCTTCGTACAGGTTCGGATTGAGACGCTCCGTGCAGTAGCTGGTGTAATGACAGATTGGCGGAGCCTTCGGGTAGTCGCGACCCATTTGAAAGTCGAAGAAGAACAAGGCATTCTGGTAGGGCGTGCGCTTGGGTCCCACCATCATCACAGACATGAGATCCATACGATCCTCGTAGGCACGCACAATAACTCCCGGTGGCAGCGACAACTGCAGCAGGGAGTACTCACGCTGAATAGATCGCTGGTACTGCGCCTTGTTCGCCGGTATAACCGTACTGCGAATGAAGCGATGTGAAAGCGGTGCATTGGGCAGCACCTCGAAGCAGTTCTCGCAAACGGGTGAGTTGCGAGTTGGAGAGACAATTTCAGGTGTGGGCGAGGGCGATGAGCAGGCCATTGGGCGATTAATGGGTGGCAGCGACTCTGACAATGCGTTCAGGTCCAATGTGTGCTCCATGGCATCGCATTTTAACAGGCTCTGTTCAACTTCCACCTTAGGTATTGGCTGCGCCGATTCCACCTCGTGGAGGTCGATGGCGATGTCCACTGTTTCAATATCATAAGTGCCATCTGAATGTTCTTCATCTGTATCTTTCGCTTCTTGTGCCTCTCTGCGTGCACGTTTGATTTTATCATTAACCAACTTGCGGCATTTCGACAATTGTTCCTTAATAAGCAGAGCAAACATCTCGATGGTTTCGGTGCGGCAGCTGTCCGTAAACTCAGCAACCACCTGTGGCTTCGCCTCAGTAGGCGACGGCGACGGCGTCTGATCCACTTTTGGCTCGACAGGATCACGATCGCTGGCCGAGTTGGTCAGCTCGCTCATGCTGTTCTCGCCCCGTGAGTGAACTCCAGAATCATTCTGATTGAATATAAAATTAAAGTATGCTAAAAATCTACACTTGACTTGACCAAAAAATAGCCCTTACCTTTGTCTTATTCCGTATTTCAAAAGCTACGAGAATACTATTACGCGCCACTTCGATCAAATGATTATATTCGCAACGATATTTGGCTATCAACTTTGAGTTTTCGCAATTATCTTCCTCTGTGGCTGCTGGCTCTTCCTCCTCCTCGGTGACAATGTCGCCAGCTCGCTTGCATTGAACTTCGTCTATTTCGGTTGATGATTTTCGCTTTGTTGGCGTCGATGTCGACTGGGCGCTTACAGGTGGGCCATCAATCTGGAGCCTCAATGGCGTCGTGGCTAAGTCCATATCAGCATCAACATTAATTATACTTTGGATGGCCCTGTAGGTTTCGGAGATGCGATTCGAGTCCAAAGTGTGCTCGAAATGATCCGGGCCAAAGAAGCTGGTCTTCAGCAGGCGATCCAGGTAATGACAATTAGCATAAATGGTAACCAGATCTATGTGCACCTCTGACTTTTCAGCGTCCGGCAACAGATTGTGGATCTTCTCGAGCTTACCCAGTGCATCGCTCACGCTATCGATGCCCGTTATGATGTGCTCTTTCTCTGTGAGCTGGCCGTGCATACTATCCTCCGACTGGGTCTCCCACGAGTTGTCCGACCCATCGGACAGATAGCCATCGTGGTCCTGATCACTCTGATTGATCTCAAAGAGATCCTGTGGATAGCACATGGTAATATGTCCCAAGGCCCACCAGACGCGCACACGGCCATCGGGAAAGTTGTCGATCACCTGGCCAGCTGTCGAGTTGACATTCTCGTTTGTAAAATTCGAGACCCTAATGACCATGGTGCCGGGTCGATACTGATAGTCGGCGTGATCCTTCAAATCATAAACGCTCAGCTCCTCCACCTCCTTGCATGTGGGACTGAAAAGGATAATGATAAGAAATTATCCTCTGCATGAAATATGAAAAAATAAATACATACACTGTGTCCTTTTTGGTATAAATATTGAACCATTTGACCTTCGCAATACGTTCATCATGATCCACGGACTGTATTACGCCATATTCGGTCTGCGAGAGGTTGTTCTCGTTCCCCTTGCTTACAAAGTCACCCGGAAAGAACTCTTGATTGTCCAGATGGTGTATGGGATAAAGATGGGTCGACTGAATGTTCTCCTCCACGCTGCCATCCTGCCACACGACGGTCGCGGTGCTGCGTACCACTAATGTCTCCACCACAATCTCATCACCGTCGCGAGGATCTATATGTTTCTTAATAAATGGTGATGTGAGTGTCTTCTTTTGAAGCTTCTTCTTTTTGGAGGAACGTTTGCCAATCCGCACGGAGATCCGCTGCTGATTATAAGCTGCGCCAGCAACACTACCGCCAACACCACTCGTATTTGTGGAGTAAGCCACTGGTGTCTTATTCTTATCATCACTTGCCACTGGTAGTGGTCCGGCTGCCAGTTCCTCTTGGCCTTCCGATTCTGTAGTCACGTCTAGGCATACTTCTTCGCCATCACCATCCTCAGTCAGTTCCGCGGACTCGTCATGGTTGCTTGTTGAAAGCTTTGGGGACGAGCCAGTGCCCGCTTCGCGGCCTTTGAGTGAGACATTGGCGACGGCTTCGATATCGCCATTGGAACGTGAACGCGAATTGACAGACTTATTCGAAAGGCGTCGAATTTTGGGCATATTGCGGGCATTGCCACTACTGGAGCCTTTCGGCTTGCTCCGTTTAGTCTCGACAATTCCCTGATTTTCGTAAATGGACTTATATTTAGCCGCTGGAATGGGAAAGTGAAATCGTGCATTAAACTTTATATTCGTCAAACAATCCGTAAATATCTTACAGATTTCATCCTCCCACTCCTGTTGATCGAGCAGTGTATCGTGTTTTGAATATGTTAGGAAGAATCGATCGTGAATTTGAAGCATGTAAGATTCATAGAGATTGAGGCGCTTCATTTTCTTCAATTCTTCGCCCAAGATATGAGTTTTTGGCTGCTTGAGAGGATCGCCATTGCAGTCGTTTGTGGTGGCACGACATGTCCAGGCCACGTTCACTCCAAGGGTTTTGATCGATTCCACGACATACTATGGTTGACGGATACAACAATAAAAGTTAAATCTTTGCGCTTCATTTAATTGCTTTTGTTTGCATTCTTACCAAGGCTCGCTTGCGATTTGCGGGCAATGGTATATCCGGAGTTAGATTTTGAAAGCGATCACAGGACGGCAGACGACCCACAACCACGTTGCCGGGAAACATCACATTTTGAGTGAGTACTTCAGGCATCGTTGCATCCCTGAACTTGTGGAAACAGGACGATCCAATTTCAAACTTGCCTCCATTGCAAGTTCTACCAAACAAACAAAAACCAAAGAAATCAACGAATTAAACAAGCCACTGGCGATGGTATGTACGAGTAGGCTACCTGAGCACAGCGACCTCGTCCACATTGATGGTGGTGCCCACCCAGGTGTCAAAGCATACGGTTACATCACGTGCCCACTGTGAGATCGGACGAAAACGCTCCGCAGGTACATTCTTGATGACGAACTTGGAGCCAAGCACCTTCACGTCCGCCGTCACGCTAACATTCCTCACATAGCCAGACGGCCCAGTGAGATCTCTCTGGCCAGGCAGGCGGCGACGCACAACATCGCCAGGCATCAATGTGCGGTCTGCGAGGCCAATCTGCAAAGCCAAACGTTGAGGAAACCAGAAGAGAGGAACAACGAAAGAGAAAACAAACACGTGTCAGTGCCGAAAAAAAAAAACAGTTGTTCAAACAGTTATGTACAGTTATTTGTAGGCCAGTGGCAATGCCAACGGCAATGTCAATGCCAGTTACATAACCTCAACGGGGTGGCTGTACTTACCGCTGACTCCTTTCGAATCTGTTCCTTGCCATCGGGATAGAAGGACACACGAACCTCGCCCGTAAACAGCGGATCGTTATCATCCTCGTCCTCCGATGAGTGCGACTCGGCCGTCTCGGTTACGACCCCAAAGTGCACGCGACCCCGCGAATCAATGCGAAAGACCTCATCCTCGAAAAAGAAAAGGCAGGGGCTGTTTTTTTTTTCATTCCGGGACTCGACTGCTCCGCCGCCCGTCTTGCGAATGCTTGATGCACCGCCTCCCTGGCGAAGCTCTTCTGTGTCCTCCACCAGGTTTTTAGGGAGGGTGCCAACATTTTTGTCAGCACCCGCCTCACGACTCGACATATTATTACCAATGATGAACTGTGTTCATAGGAGAGAAATTATAGCTTGCGATATACTGGTGCAGCGCCTTCGAGCTTAGTTGGACAAACGATTTACAATTTGCGTGGCGAGTTCCCAACGACTTGGACTCCTTTAAACGATTTTTACGGCAACTCTCTGGTGCGACACGACTCTATACGGAAAACGCTATTGAGCCCGCAATCAATTTTTACGCGGTTATATTCGGTGTGCAAGTAAATTTTCTTTCCGATTTCTTTTGAAATTAAAACTATAAATAAAACATTCAAATTCTACAACAAAAACAAAACGAGACTAGTCTCAGTGTGACAGACGACTTACAGAGAAAATTTACCGGCAGGCCCTCAAAAATATTTCGCTATATACCAAAAGGGAATAAAAAATACCAAAAGCCAGTAAATCTACTCAATTTGGACGTCAAAATATGCCGAAAAGTATGCAGTAAACGGGCACTTGTAGGCGCTGCAACTGCTGCATAAAAATTTAAATAATATACTTGGTCAAAACACAGCATAGAAAATTTTTTTCCAGAAATTGATCACAGATATTTTTTGTTTTCCCTATTATTTCCTTGTGTATATTTACATAACGCTTGACGCCTACTTCATGACATTCTAAGAAATCCCAAAAGTATTTTTAAATACCCCTATATGTATGTACGAATAAATAGAATAACTTATTGTTTGACCCATTTTATTTGACGGAAATTTTGTACATATTTGTTCTAATATTGCACCCCCCCCTTTTTACATGTTATCACACCTAACTATCATGGGCGGCGCGAACTGCGAGTGGCGCACACCGAACGAATAGGCCTGTCCAGATTTGCCGGGACGGTAGTACATCAGATCGTAGAAGTTGGGGCCTGGACCCACGCCCTTAGCCGCCAGGCCCACACGCGGCGACATTGAGTATTGCGGGGCGCGGGTCAAGTTCACATTGATATCGCCAGGAGCATAGGCAGCAGGACCAGGTGACAAACCCTTTGTGAGCGTCTTTGTTTGCAGTCCCCTAAATAAAGATTGAATTATATCAGCTGCACTGGCTGCAAGGACTGAGCTACTCACATGCTGTACGCTGGCGCGGCTTGTTTTACGGTGTTGACGTCATACTTGTAGGCGTTCGGACCAGGTCCGTGTTTCTTGAAATTGTAGTCCGTGCGCAGACCCATGGAGTAGGACGGCGCATTGATGCCCGTGAAAAAGGGCTTTAGATGCACATCATGTGCCCCGGGACCAGGACCAACTCTTTTATCTGCAATTACGGGTTGAAAGGTGACCACTGCACATTATCCATTCGCTTACCAATGGTTTTCAATCGCGGAGCTATCGAGTACTCCAAGCCACCAGCCTTGCCATATCTCGTCAGCTTGTCGACCTTGTAGGCACCGGCACCAGGTCCAATGTTGCTCCCCTGAAAGTTGGTTCGCATTCCAAAGGAATACTGGGGTAGGCGCTGCTTACGCGAATCGTGACGATCGTAGCCCAAAGTGGGTGGCAGCATATAAGCGCCCGGGCCAGGTCCTGCAGACAACAAAACACATTATCCCTAATCCTTAGACGTTTTTAACTGTCAAATTTTCCTCACCTACAGGTCGCACCGCCATTTTGTATTATTTTGTTAGTTTTGGGGGAATATTAGAAAAAAATATTTTATTGAAAATTTTGAACTCAAAAAAGAGTTGTTTGCCGAACGGACACCAAAAATAGAATGAAAATTCCAAAAGCCCTCCATGATGGGACAATAAAAATTAAATTCAACGACTACTTTGTAAGGAAATACGCAAGGGACATATTGTGACATATTGGATCTTTATTGGAAAAGTTGAATATGATACTATCTTGAATGAATTGGAAACATTGTTAAGTGATTTAGACATGCGGAGATTCGAGAGATATTTGAATGGAAATTCCCTTTACACCCTCTTCCATGGGTACAGAAAAATGATCTCCAAATATATTGCTTTAGATGAGCCAAAAAAAGACGAATAAAAAAATAAATCTTTAAATTGATTGCTTAATAATTACGAGGATTCATGGGCTAAGTCGGGCGGGCTATTCCACGTCCATGGAGTTGTAGAGCTGCTTATAACGAGAGCCACGACCACTGCTTTGAAGCAGCATGTCATTATGTTGTTCCCTTAGGATCTGCGAGTAAGAAATATAATTATATACAGACCTATTTTATCAGAGATTATGCTTACCTTTGGATCGTATTTGTGATAGAGATAAACCAGTATGGGGCCATAGATCATGTTGCATATGCCCACCATGCGCATTAGCCAGGCAAAGCCAAAGGTCTGAGCCATCTCTCCACCAATCAATGGAGCTATAAAGGCAGAATAAAAACCGAATAGAAGAGTTCACGCTGAGAGATCAGACTAGAGACTTACCCAAGCAATAGGCCAGGCTAACAGATGTCTGTTGTATGGCATAGACAGTGCCGTAGCTGGAAATGGGAGTGCTAACCTCACCCTGCTCCTCTTGGGCCAATGTAGCATCTACAAAGGTGGCCAGCAGCGGCACGAGAGCAGCGTCAATCACCCCAATGCCAAGACCTAAAGCAAAGTGCGGCAACAGTAGCTGGCTAACAGTCGTCGCGCTGGGGATCTACAGGCAAAGAAGTAATTAAATATGGTTTAATTCATAGAATAAAGCAAGTACATACCAAAATAGAGGCGATTCCCACCAGCAGCAGACTGATGCAGGAGATCTTCACCTGGCCAAAGCGATAGGCAACGCTGCCAAAGAAATTGGTGCCCACAAAGTAGCCCACAGAATCGGGTATGAAGACAGTTCCCAGTTGCCATTTGTTCGGCTTCAAGTACTGAATCAACCAAATGGGCAAGCACGGCTCAAGCATAGCCATCGTGGACGTGGAGAACCAGATGGCTAGCACAATGGCCAAGATCATTTTGCATTCGAGCAGTGGCCGCCACTTGGGAGTTTCCTCAACCACCACCTGCGGCTGCACAGACAAATCCATCGTCAGCAGCTGCAGGCCCAAGCTAAAGAACATCAGCGTTGAGAGTATAATAAAGGGAGCGGATTTTCCCATCAGATCATAAAGGATACCGCCGAATGGATAGCCGAGCAGCACGCCCAATGCAATGCTGCCCAAGATGATGCCCATCACTTTGGAGCGACGTGCCTCCTCTGGGTAGCTTTGGGCCACCAGACTCATGCCGCAGATATTGATGCACGCAGAGCCCACACCCTGAACGGCACGGGCCACCAATAGCGACCAATAGGATTCGCCCACAGTGAACACTGCAAGTAGAGACACAATAATAGCATCCGTTTTTGTCATTAACGTACGAAAAGGGGCTTACCCAAAGAGGAGACGAGCAGGAAGAAGGTGCCCACGACAATGGGCAGGCGGTAGCCAAACTTGCCGGTCGCGTTGCCGACAATCGGATTGAAAATTAATTGCACCAGAGCCTTCGTGGCAAGCAGCAGGCCAATGGAACCGTTCTCCTGCGCCAAGGTCAGACTCCGGCTGCTGTTTGAGTGCACAATACTGGTTTTAAGGCTATCGGGAGCTACCTTGCTGGTGGGGGTGGTCACATTAGTGCCGCCCGACTGGACGGTATCTAGCATTAGTGCCGTCGCCGTAGTCATGGGTGTGACTGTGGACGTTGTTGGGCGCTCTGTGGAGATCTGAAGCAGCGTAAAATTGACCATCGATTTGCCGGGAATGGGATGTTTGGCAGTATGTAGCTGATGCCCACCACCGAGCATCTCTCCACTGCGATAGGCCAGCTTTGAGGATGGGGTTGTCTCCTCCAGACTAAGGACCAGCGGCGTGGATGCCTCCAGCTCCAGTCCGGCCAAATAATCTGGCAGAATAGGCACTGCAAAATGGGAACTAATCGTTCTGTACACTGATTAAGTTTATCATTAATTAATTTCTATTACCAATCACGGTCAGCAGCATGTTATCCAGCAGCAGGGCCAGATAGACAATCACTGCAATGAGACAGCGATTACTGCTGCCATTAGCGGGCGTTGAGCAGCGTCTGGCCGAGGCATTCAGCTGGACGGCAGCTGCTTGGGCTGCCTGCCTCTGGAGCTGGCCATGTGTCGAAAGCTCCGACATGTCGGTCGCACGATAAGCTAATTGTAAATCTTCCTCACAAACTGATTGACACTGCCAATTTATGCTGCCATATGGTTCGATGGCTTTGGTTTGCTTTTAGTCTCGATTCGCGCCACAAAGTATGCTACACAATATAATGCAGACACACACACATACACACACACTCACTAGTGTGTTCGTTCCCTCACACACACGACGACAGCACCAGTTGAGCAGGAACCAACAACAGGTGGGTGTTGCTGCCTCAACGACGAGTTTGCGAATATTGAAAGGGAGCGACAAGTTGCCGTTCTATTTTATTGACAGCCTGCGAACCGAGGCGACTTCCGAGTCCGGGTCCGAGTCCCGAGCAGGATGATGGGCCGGGTGCCCCGAACGAGGTTTCATCAGTGCTCCGTTCCTATATATTTTCTATGCTTTGCTGTTTGTGTTGAACATGAAATTGAGGCTGACCTCTTCGAGTGGTGTAGGCCAAAAGTTATTCAAATTGGAGAGAGTGCACATCCTGTCTATGAACTTTGTGGACAGTCTGAAAAAGGTCCAAAGTTATTCATTTCAAATATATAAAAAATGTTAAGGCTTTAAGCTGCTTCCATAAATAAAACTTCCAATAATCTTCCAATGTAATAAATATTTCTAGATGGAAATCCCATTCAATAGCGGACAAAATTCATTCACACTTTGTAAACATTTTTGGGGAAAGAGCATTCATTATTCTTTGGTGGCCAAATCATAAATTCGCTCATGTTTCTATTGGCTTGTTGATAGTTTTTCGTTGCGGGACAGAGAGCAAATGTTCACACACACACACACACACACACACATGACTTTAAAGATGTATCCATGGCATAGGATTCTTTATTATTAAATCTCCCTCTGCCATAGTACTGCGTCGCGGGGGCTTTAAGCACTGGCTTAAAGGCTTCGCGCGGCCCGAGCTGAACGAGTGTTTGCCACGGCCCCGATAAGCAGGCTATGGATTTGTTGGCCTTTAGTCACATTTTCCGTTTCATTGAATTTTCAGCCGTTTAAATTTAGTCCCCTCAAAATTTGTGACGGATTGCTTCAGCCCAGAGTTGAGTACTCTTTCAAAATTGATTTTATGAGAGGACACGAAGAATGCTCTCCCCACACTGTTGACCCATTTTGAGTCAAGATGAGGTATAAATATAGCTCCAACATTCTCCCTGAAAGTCAAATTGTTTTGTGTGAATATTTGTTGTGGTGTTTCCCTCTTTGAGACCTAAACACACACCTGTTCCTCACCTGTTACTATAGCGAAAAACATACGCCCACTCGAGTTTAGCACGCCGATTAGGCTAATCTGATACTTAATTCTCGTTAATTCATGATTAGACAACAAAAGCTAATTGTTAACTAGTTTATTTTTGAGACTCTACCTAGCGAACACTTTTTGGGTTGTTGTTGTCTATGCCACGCCTATGGAAATACGCATATTCCAGATTGTTGGCCTTTCCACAACGCTTTACCGAGCCCAGGTGATAGGCCGCGGGGCCAGGTCCCACAAGATTAGCACGATTAGAGGAACGGGATCTGCTGCCGAAGGAATACCGAGGGCTACGCTGCTTCCTGGAGTCACACTGCTCATAGCCAAAGCAGCTGGGCAGCATGTATGCCCCAGGTCCAGGTCCTTGTAAAATATTTATAGATTAAATATGTATTAAAAAGCCGCTTGATTTTTACCTAAGGATCTATGTGACATTTTGGGGTCAAAAATTTCAAAAGGGAATTCAAAAATAAATTTGTTAGTTGTTTGCCGAGCGGGTGTCAAGGGAGAAATTAAAGTTAACAAAAATCTTTCCCAAAAACCAAAACAACGAAAATTCAAGGCCAGTTCGATGATGAACAAAATCAGCAAGGGAAAAGCTCAATAAACTGCTAATCCTAATCACAATGATAGTCAGCCGCTATCAATAATGCTTCTTGTCTTGAGCATTCTTGGGGAAGTGCTCCAAGTGCTTAGATAAGTTGTCAGCATGTCCAGCTCGTAGCTTCAGCTCCGCCTGTGCTGGTCAGTCCGTTGGCAGCCAATCAAGCGCACGGTCAACGAGGAAAATGTCTGCCAGCAAAGGAGTTTGGCTGTTCGCAGTACTGCTGCTGATAGCTGCAATCGGTAAGTGCCAATGAAAACCATAAAACTAAATTGGAAATTGGAATTTGAACTTTCTCACCACCTGCACGGTTCTACAGGTGGCCTGGGGGAAACGGTGCCGTGCAAAGTGAAGGATGGGGAGCAGGGAAAGTTGTGCGTGTGCACTGCGGATTACTGCGACTACTTGGAAAATCCTACGCTGACAGACGACACAGAATTCGCACTGATTTCCAGCTCTAAGCAGGGTCTGCGATTCGCCACATCCAGCGGACACTTCGAGACAGAGGTCAAGTACACTGTGAAGGACTATGTGGAGCCTGTGCCGGAGACCAAAAATGAGACCATTTTCTCCCGAATGCTGGATCAGGCCATGGCCAGTGCCTTCACCTTGGAGTCCCGCGAGAGCACCATCACCCGCTCCGTGACACTGAAAGTGAATCGCAGTAAAACCCACCAGACAATGGCAGGTTTCGGTGGCAGCTACACCGGTGCCGTATCCTACTTAGTGGACAACTTCAAACAGCCCGAACTCGCCGACCATCTGTTCAAGTCCTTTTACGCAGAGGAAGGACTGGGATTTAATCTGATGCGCATATCGATCGGCGGCTGCGACTTTGACCTCAGTGCCTGGGCCTATGCCGAGGAAGAGGGCAACACAAATCTCGACGGCATGGACGAGCTGGACGAACGAGATGTGCTGCGTGTGAGCCACATCAAACGCCTCGTCGAGGTCTCGGGCGTCAAAAATCTACGAATCAAGGGTGCCGCATGGAGTGCACCGCCATGGATGAAGACCAACAACAAGTGGACTGGATTCGGACGACTCCAGAAGCAGTATTATCAGACCTGGGCCGACTACCACCTCAAGTGGGTGAAACTGATGGAGGATAATGGACTGCCCATCTGGGCCATTTCGACAGGCAACGAGCCACTGAACGGCATCGTCTTTATGTACTTTGTGCGATTCATGAGCATGGGCTGGACCCCACAGGCGCAGGCTATCTGGTTGAACGATCACCTGGGGCCGACGATCCGAAACTCTGAATTCAAGGACATCATCCTGTTCGGCAACGATGATCAGCGCTACTCCTTTCCACACTGGTTCAAAATGGTAAGATTGGCGCAGATCCCCAAGTAGCTGCAAGGTTTAAGGTTATGTCGAACATAAATTCCAGATGAATAACACACGCCCCAATTCTGTGGATTACCTGGACGGATTATCGCTGCATTGGTATTGGGATGAGATTTTCGGCATCAGTCACATCGATGAGACCACCGAATACGCTCCCGACAAGCTCCTAATCGTCTCCGAGTCCTGCATCGGCGATAAGCCCTGGCAGAAGGCGGCACCCATCCTGGGCAGCTGGGAGCGGGCTGAGAAATACAGTCGCGCATTTTTGCAGAACCTTCAACATGGCTTCCACGGCTGGATCGATTGGAATATCATTTTGGACGAGGAGGGCGGCCCCAACTATGTGGACAACACAGTCGATGCCCCAGTCATTGCCAACACCACAAGTAAGTTCGCTGTAGATTAAATTTCGCAATTACTTACCGATTTGCTTGCAGCCAATGAGGAGTTCTACAAGCAGCCCATGTTCTATGCCATGGGACACTTCTCCAAGTTGGTGCCAGAAGGTTCCATACGCGTCGATGCAGTGCCCAGCAACGTGAATCTGGATACCGTTGCCTTTTTGCGGCCAGACAAGAAGATTGCCACCGTGCTCTTCAACAGCGGGCGTGCCGACTTGGACATTACTGTGGTGGACAGTGAGCGCGGCCAGTTTACGGTCAATGTGCCCGCCAAGTCCATTCACACCTTGCTGCACAGCTAAACACATTTTTGCAATAAACAAATTAATTGCACTCCGTTCCGTTTCTTTTTTTTTGGTTTGCAAGGCGAAAGGGCCTGTCAAGGGTATATTTTAAGTAAGGTACGGTGCTTGCCTAAAACGCATTAAGTAAATATGTGTGACATAGCGCAATGCCTCACCCTGCTATTAATATACCTTGTGTTTGACTGTGAGTGCGAAAGGGATAGCCATAGTGGTCTTGTACCGTTCGATGGCCAGATCAACTGTTTTTTCGTTTTCCTCCTCCCATTCGATTCTCCCGCGCTAACCGCTGGCGTTTGCATAACTTTTACTTTTGATTGCGTGCGCCGATTTCCAAGTGGGCATGGATCGCTGCTTGCCAACGTCTTGCCGGCTGCTTTATCAGATCAACAGCTGTGTGCCCGGGTCAAGTGGCCTCACAGAAACACAAACAAACAACTTGAGCGAAATTCGGTTTCCCGCGACGCTTGATTAGAGAAACGCTTTCGCAGCACCCGCTTGACTGACTCTCTGCTCGGACTCAGTCGACTGGACGCCTCCGAACGAGACTCGTCGCCTCGTCGCCTCGTCGCCTCATCGCCACTGCTGCAGTTTGACTTCAACTGGAAACAAATATGAAAGAGATTTGGCTGTGCTTTCTTTTTGCAGTGGTCGCAACCTGCGCCCAGCAGGGAGGTGAGAAACGCACAAAAGAGATAAGTGCCTACCTGCTCACCTAAATTTCATTACTTGCAGTTGCTGCTTTAACTCAGGTGCCCTGCGATCTCCGCGAAACACCGCATGGCAGTGTTTGTGTATGCAACAGCACCTACTGCGATTACTTGGAGCAGCCGGAACTGAACGATGCCTCAAAGGTTGTGGTGATTAGCTCCAGCAAGGTGAGTGGGCAGATCTCAAGAAACCACTTTGATTGCCACAATATTTTGTTTTCTAGGATGGCCTGCGCTTTAAAGTAACCACTGGTGACCTTTCCATCAAGACGCCTTTGGTGGTGGAAGACAAACAGTCAACAGATGAGAACTTTCACGCCGAGGCCATTGTTGTGGACCAGCACAGAGCCTGGCTGAATTTGGCAAGCATTCCGCAGCGATTGTGTAGCTATGCTGAGTGTTCAAATATGGCAAACATCACTTATCCCATTCTTTATTGCAGTTATCAATGCCAGCGTCAAGACTGTAAAAGTTTCGGTACAACGGGAGCAGCGTTATCAGAAGTTATCCATCTTTGGCGGTGCCTTCACTGGGACTGTCTCGCATTTACTTAAGCTGTTGCCACCAGGCCTGCAGGATCATGTCTACAAGTAGGATTTATATCAAGACATCCATAATTGTGACTATAAACTGTTTTCCCTTTGAAGATCCTACTTCCACAGGGAGGGTATTGCCTACAACAGCATCCGCATGTCCATAGGAGGAAGTGACTTTGACATGGAACCCTGGGCCTACAACGAGCTGCCACGGAATGATGCCAGCCTATCGAATTTTACTCAGCTCGATCTGAGGGATCTGCAGAAAATTGAACAACTGAAGCGCCTCAAGAGTGTGGCTCAAATGGAGGAGCTGAAAATTATGGCCGCTGCCTGGAGTGCGCCTCCCTGGATGAAGACCAACGACCGCTGGACAGGCTTTGGCCAGCTAAAAGCGGAATATTACCAGACCTGGGCCCTCTATCATCTCAAGTGAGCGAGAAAGAATTCGTTTGCACTGCGAATGCCATTCATATTCATGTTGTTGGAACCCGTTGCAGGTTTCTCGAACTGATGCAGTCTAAAAATATGCCGATTTGGGCCATATCCACTGGCAATGAGCCGCTAAACGGCGTCATCGGTTTCTTCTTTGTGCACTTCATGAGCATGGGCTGGACGCCCTGGCAGCAGGTAGGAGGCGGCATGCCATACATTCAATCATGATTCTGGCTATTAAGCATTTTGAATATTTACGACCAGGCAATATGGCTGAGCGATCATCTAGGACCGACCATTAGGAACTCGACGCAGAGGCCCGTGCTCATCTTTGGCAACGATGACCAGCGGTACACGTTTCCCTCGTGGTTCCGCAAGGTGAGCTGGTGCATGAAAATGTTTCCATTAAACACTAAAGGCAGTCGTCACTTATTTTAGATGCGTTCATCGCGCAGCAGTGCGTTGTCGTATTTGGATGGCCTGGCCGTCCACTGGTATTGGGATGAGCTGGTTGGTCCCCAGCTCATTGACCAGGCACACCAGGAAATGCCCAATAAGCTGCTGCTCAACACAGAGTCCTGTCTTGGAGACAAGCCCTGGCAGACTCACGGCCCCGAGCTGGGCAGCTGGCAGCGTGGCGAGAATTACATGCGTGCCTATATTCAGGATTTTCAACACAGCTTCAATGGTTGGCTGGACTGGAATCTAGTGCTGGACGAGCAGGGCGGACCCAACTATGTGAACAACTTTGTGGACGCACCGATAATTGTGAATGCGACGAGTCGAAGTGAGATGTACAAGCAACCGATTTACTATGCCATCGGGCACTTCTCCAAGTTTCTGCCGGCGCAATCGGTGCGCATCGGGACGCGGATCGAGGGCGAAAACAATTCCTTTACGCAGTTAAGTGTAGTGGGCTTCCAGCGCCCAGACGGCAGTGTGGCGTTGATCGTCTACAATGGGTAAGTTAAGTGGCGCGCGTGTCTGCGCATCCTGCATTCTATTTTGGGCCTCATCTGCGACAGTGCCGCTTAAGTGCGTCAACTTAATTGCCTACAACGCTGCAGCGTTGCACATTTTTGAATGCCATGCCTCTAATGGATGCTCTGCTTTGCACTTTCTTGCAGCCA